GCGTCTGTGTCCGCGTCAGGTCAGCCAGCAGCCCCCTGCTCGTGTCGCCTCCTGTCGCACCAGACTCTCCTTTGGCACCACCGCCTAGGTCACCCCTCCCTGCCATGCCTCTGTGGCATGCACTCCCGCCTCCTTGTCTCTGGTATTCCCAGGTCTCTACCTCCCCTCCCACACTCGGCTGCCCCTCCTTGCCTTCCCTGTGTCGAAGGGCGGCAGCGCGCCGCTCCTCAGTCCTCCTCGTTTCCCCCGACGACTGCTCCCCTGCAGACTCTCCACATGGACGTGTGGGGCCCAGCCCGCGTCCAGGGACAGGGCCGCGAGCGATACTTTATGCTGGTTGTTGACGACTACTCGCGTTACACCACGGTCTTCCCCTTGCGCAGCAAGGGGGAGGTCCTTGATGTTTTGATCCCTTGGATCCGCGCTGTCCGTCTCCAGCTCCGCGAGCGGTTCGACACGGACCTTCCTGTCCTGCGTCTGCACTCTGACAGAGGTGGTGAGTTCTCATCCGACCTCTTGCGGGACTTTTGTCGTGGGAGGGCATCCTCCAGTCGTTCACGCTTCCGGCCTCTCCTCAGCAAAATGGGATTGCTGAGCGCCGCATTGGCTTAGTCATGGAGGTGGCTCGTAGCTCCATGATCCATGCGGCTGCTCCCCATTGTCTGTGGCCGTTTGCGGTCCGGTACGCTGCGCATCAGCTCAACCTCTGGCCCCGTGTCTCCTTGCCGAAGACCTCGCCTACACTGCGTTGGACGGGAGAGGTTGGCGATGCGTCGGTGTTCTGGGTCTGGGGCTGTCGTGCCTTTGTCTGCGATACCTCCGCGGACAAGCTCTCCTCGCCCGCCGTTCCCTGCGTCTTCCTTAGTTTTACCACCCCACATTGCGCCGTGTCCTACCCTCTCAGGACGTCACGTTCGACGAGTCGATTCCCTTTTACCGTTACCGTCTCTTTCCCTATCGCACTGCCCCTCTCCCCCCCCCCCCGGCCGCTCTTCCTCGCTCCAGGTCCCCCTCCGGTAGACCCCCTCCCCCCTCAGGGTCCTGCTCCTCCAGGTGTGTCTCAGGTAAACCCACTCCCCTTGGTTGAGCCTGTCGAGGTCACTGGTGACTCTGGTGCTGCTCGGGGTGCTGCATCTGGGGGTGCTGAGCCTGCGGTTGTCGAGCCTGAACGTGCGGAGCCTGGAGGTGCTGAGCCTGAGCGTGCGGAGCCTGGGGGTGCTGAGCCTGCGGGTTTGGAGCTTGGGGGTGCTGAGCTTGCACGTGCGGAGCCTGGGGGTGCTGAGTCTGGGGGTTTGAGCCTAGGGGTCCTGCGTCTACACTACGGGAGCCTCTCTCACCAAAGCAGTTGCGCAAGTGGTACGCTCGGTACTGTAGCCTTCGAAGTGGCGCTGCTGGAGCTGGAGGCCCTGGAGCTGCTAGTCCTGGAGGTGCTGGAGGTACTGCTGGTACTGGAGGTACTGGAGGTGCTGGAGCTACTAGTCCTGGAGGTCCCACTAGTGCCTCGCCCCAGCGGTCTAGCCGGCGGGAGCCTCTCTCACAACAGCAGTTGCGCGAGTGGTACTCTCTGCGCTGTAGCCTTCGGAGTGGCGCTGCTGGAGCTGGAGGCCCTCGAGCTGCTAGTGCTGGAGGTGCTGGTGGTGCTAGCACTGCTGGTCCCGGGGGTGCTCGTGCTGGTGGCGCTGGAGCTGCCGGAGCTGGTGGTGCTGCTAGTGCTAGAGGTGCTGGAGGTAGTGGAGGAGCTGCTCGAGCTGGTGGTGGTGCTGCTGCTCGAGGTGCTGGAGCTGCTAGTCCCGGAGGTGCTCGTACTGGAGGTACCGGAGCTGCTGGAGCTGGTGGTGCTGCTGCTGCTGCTGCTGGAGGTGCTGGAGCTGCTGGTCCCGGAGGTGCTCGTACTGGAGGCACTGGAGCTGCCGGAGCTGGTGGTGCTACTGCTACCGGAGGTACTGGAGGTGCTGGAGCTGCTGGTCTCGGAGGTGCTCGTACTGGAGGCACTGGAGCTGCCGGAGCTGATGGTGCTGCTGCTACTGGAGGTGCTGGAGCTGCTGGTCCCGGAGGTGCTCGTGCTGGAGGTACTGCAGGTGCTGGAGCTGCTGGTCCTGGAGGTGCTTGTGCTGGAGGCACTGAAGCTGCCGGAGCTGGTGGTACTGCTGGTGCTAGAGGTGCTGGAGGTGCTGGAGCTGCTGGTCCCGGAGATGCTCGTACTGGAGGTACTGGAGCTGCTGGAGCTGGTGGTGCTGCTGGTGCAGGAGGTGCTGGAGGAGCTGGAGGTGCTGGGGGCGCTCGAGCTGGCCGTACTAGTGCTGGAGGCACTGTGTCGCGGCGCCTGTTTTTCGCTCCACCGCCGTCGTGGTCTCTGCCGCCACCTGGCTCGGTGCTTCGCCAGGTTATTAGTCTCCCGTCTTCTACTGGCCTTACTCCTCCCTTTCTGTGTCCACCACCTGACCAGTCGCAGCCACAGTTACAACCAGACTCACCGCTGCCTGCTCCTTCTCCTTACACTGAGCAGACAAACTCTCTTACAGAGCGTCGTGAGCCTGCGTCTCGCCCTACCTCGCCTATTCGCGCTGGTCGCACTGGTCGTCGCGCTCCACGTCCGCGTCCTCCTCCTGTCCCCGGCACTCACTATATGACACTTCGTCCTTCCTCTGTTCCACTGCGAGTTCCCCTGCCGTCTCCTCCTGCGTCCTCTCTTCCTAACGGTCCGGACCCTAAGTCAGACTTAGTTCGTGCTGCCAGTCCTACTGTCACGCGTCTCCTGGCCACTGTTGTCACTGACCCTTCGTTTGAGTCCACTACTACGTCTAACCTCGTCGCTGAGCTTGTTGACTTTGCTACTGCTTGTCGTCTCGACTACGCCGCTAGTCTTGTTGCTGAGTCTGAGTCTGTCTGTCCTCCGTCCGTCGGGGGTGAGTGTGCTCTTGGCACGGACGTCCTTGAGGACAGGCAAGAGGACTTTGATTGTCTTGCAGCTGCTGTACCTCATCTCGTGTCCATGCTGCTTGCACCTGAGGGAGACCCAGATGCTCCAGACATCCCGACCCCACGCTCTTACGTAGAGGCGATTACGGGTCCCAACTTCTCTAAGTGGCAGACAGCCATGGACGCAGAGATGGCATCCTGGAAGTCCACAGGCACTTACGTCGACGCAGTTCCCCCTCCTGGGGTGAACATAGTCGATGGCATGTGGATTTTCAGGGTGAAGCGGCCGCCGGGTTCTCCGCCTGTTTTCAATGCTTGTTACGTTGCACGGGGCTTTAGCCAGCGACAGGGAGTTGACTTTTTCCAGACCTTCTCCCCTACCCCGAAGATGACCACTCTTCGGGTGCTGCTGCACGTCGCTGCTCAGCGTGGCTACGAGCTTCACTCTTTTGACTTCAGCACAACTTTCTTACAGGGCAGCCTGCACGAGGAGATCTGGCTGCGTCGCCCACCTGGCTTCACTGGGTCTTTCCCTCCTGGTACCCTGTGGAGCCTCCGGCTGCCAGTCTACGGTCTCCGCCAGGCGCCTCGTGAGTGGCACGACACACTGAGGACGACACTTGCGGCTCTTGGGTTTGCTCCTTCGACTGCTGACCCGTCGCTGTTTCTGCGCACCGACACTTCGCTTCCGCCGTTCTACATCCTCGTGTACGTCGACGACTTGGTCTTTGCCACTGCTGACACTGAGGGACTGGCCCTTGTGAAGTCGGGGCTGCAGAAGAGCACAGACCTGGGTGAGCTGCGCAGCTATCTTGGCTTGCAAATCACCCGGGATAGAGCACGCCGCACCATCACCCTGACTCAGTCACACATGGTGCAGTAGGTCCTTCAGCGCTTCGGCTTCACTTGGTCATCGCCACAGTCCACTCCTCTTCCTACCGGTCACCCGCTCTCAGCTCCACCTTCGGACGAGTCCGTAGAGCTGAGTGGCCCGTATCCAGAGCTTGTGGGCTGCCTCATGTACCTGATGACCTGCACGTGACCTGACCTTGCTTACCCTCTCAGCATCCTTGCACGCTATGTTGCGCCCGGGAGACACCGACCAGAGCACATGGGGGCCTCTAAGAGGGTGTTACGCTACTTGTGCAGTACGTCGGGCATGGGGCTCGTGCTTGGAGGACGGAGTCGAGTTGTTCTCACTGGCCACGTAGACGCGTCTTGGGTTGACGACTTGGCTACGCAGCGGTCGTTACAGGGTTACACTTTCAGCCTTGGCTCCGGTTCTGTTTCTTGGCGGTCTACCCGTTTGTCTTCTGTTCTCAGTTCCAGTTGTGAGGCTGAGATCTACGCAGGGGCCATGGCTGCACAGAAGTTATGCTGGCTCACCTACTTGCTGACCGACTTGGGAGAGCGGCTTAGTTCTCCTCCAGTTCTGTACGTAGACAACAAGGCCATGATTGCCTTGTGTCAGGAGCACAGACTGGAGCACAGGACGAAGCACATCGCTCTGCGTTACTTCCTTGCTCGAGAGTTGCAGGATGGTCAGCTTCGTCTTGCTTACGTGGCCACTCGGGCCAACACTGCTGATATATTCACCAAGGCACTTCAGCCTCGTGCTCATCAGTGTTTCTATACTGTTTTGGGCCTTGTGCCTACTTTGCCTCACTTGCTCACTTCGTGACTTTGCTTGTACTGTGATCTATATACCTGTACCTGCATGCTTACAATTGCTAGGTTGTGATCACTATACTGCTTCTTCCCATATATATAACTCAGCATGTGAACTGGTCTTGTGGCCACTTGCTTGTGCTCAGAGTGTGTGGTGACTTCGTGATCCACCCTGAGCTTGGTTTGCTTCTCTTGACTGGTCTTGTGACCCCTGCTTATGTTGTGTAGGCTGTAGTGGGGTAGCCTATATAGGGTACAACCCAATTTGGGCTAGTACTTGTAACACATTTGTAATCAACGCATTCATTCCTGCTCCTTAGTTTCTAAGTTCATGTGGCTGACATGCAAAGCATCCCCCCAAAAGCTGTAGAGCTATCCCACTCCTGTCGCCACCAGCTTCAACTCTCATGCCATCATGGCAAGGCGCCTGAGAGAGCACTTGGGGGCGGATATGGCGAGGGCAGGGGAAGAGAGGGTGGGGTCGGGGGGGAGAAGGGGGGTGGAGGGGGAGGAGGGGGGTAAGAGTAAAGATTCTTGAAAGGCGATTGGAGTGCATACAGCGCCTTCGCTGCCACCATTAATCAGCCTCCTAGGAGGGGGAGAAGAGGGGGTTGAGTTATGAGGGGGAGGGGATAGTTACGAGATAATAGGGAGATGTATAATAAAACACAGGAGGTGAGGTGGAGATGGAATCTGGGTTATCGCATATCAGCAGGTTGTAGTACAGGTGATATGGGAAGGATGAAGAGTTGCGTCTTGAGGGTGCAATGGAAATGGTGCTGGTGCTTGCTTGGTTGGGATAGCGGCAGAGCAGATGCGAGAGTGATGGCGGGCAGCAAAGGAGGGCCTGAGATGGGGAGGGAGAGTTACTTTATGCATTGCACAGTACAGATGAAAGAGCGTGAGAATGAGGTGCTGACGCCTGGAAAGCAGGCGGGGAGGGCAGGGCGGATGAGCATTTCATTGGAGGAGCTGAATGGGATGGGAGGAGTTGTTGCAGACACAACCACTGATAAAGCAGGCGATAATGTTGTGGTTGCAACAGTGCGTGGGCGAAGTGCTTCTATTTCCTTCCCACAACCCGCGCTGAGACCCACCTTTCTGAAGCTTCTCTTGCCACTGTTGCTGCTGCAGTAGGCGTGGAGGGCTCAGGTGGATCGGGTGGTGTGCAGGAAGGTGAAGTGAAGGGAACGACCTGCACGAGGGGGAGGGGAAAAAGAGAGATGGAGTTGGGGTGAGAGGATGTATATGCAGCACAGGAGGGGCCATGGATGGTGGAAATGAGGAAGAGAAGATTCTACTGGTGTAGCAAAAGTGGGAGAGAGGGAGAGGGGGGTGTCTGAAGGTGCAATAGCGATCATGCTGCTGCGTGGTTGGGTTTGTGGGGAGACGACGTGCGGGTGATGATGGGGAAAGGAGGAGAGGATGGGATGGACACCTGGTTAATCTATGAAGTGAATGGTAAGAAGGGAAAGACTGCTGAAATACAGAGAACCAGAGACTCAGATGTGATGAGTTGAAGTGACGTGTGTGGTGGTTGAAGTGGGTGGATCAAGAACTTGGAAATGGGGAAGGGAGAAACGATGAGTTAGAAACAGAAGATGGAAGCAAGGGAGTTGTATAAGGGATACGGAATGGAAAGGGAGGGGTTGAGAAGGATGCAGAGCGGTTGGATGAGGTGGGAGGATAATGGGTGGGGAAGGGGAGGTTTTATGCGAGACCTGTTATGACCACCTAGGGGGAGAGTAATCAGCTCATTTTCAGATTCACCCTCTCCCTATCGCCACTCACCATGCTGGTACCACGATCACTACCTCAGCTGCATGTGCCTCGGTTTGGACTACTGTGCAAGCTCTCGTATGCTTAATAGGCTTTTCCACGCCCCTTCTCCTACTCTATCACCCTTATGTTGGTATAGTTTTCGAAAAGGGCCACACCCCAACTGGACCAGCAGCAGGGTCCCGGGAAGGGCCGGTCCAGATTGGGCCGGTTCATGTTTGGCCTAACTTGATGTCCTTTCTGCATGACGCATAACAGTTTGACCCAAACCAGTTCTGAAGGTGTCAAGTTCGTGAAGCGGGCTGTTGGATCAAGGAAGGAGAAGAGAGCTGAAACGGGGGTGGGGGAGGGAGAGAGAATGGAGGAGGGAGGGAGGGGGGGGGGGGGGGGGGGGGGGGGGAAGGGGAGCAAGGTGCAAAAAAACGACGTTTTTTTTTCATTTTTTTGTTGTTATTTTTGATATCGTACCGTAAAATCGTTTAAAACGGATAAAAACGATAAAATTAATTATATAAATTTGGGTGCAAAAAAACGATTGTTTTTTTGGGTTATGGTAACGTAGCACACAGGATTGGTGGAAGTCGTGGCTTGAACCAATCACCCACACATATTCAGCCTTCCCGCACGTGCAGAGTGTGCCAGATTCCGACCTGTTGTGATCAGATTGGTGGCAGGGGAGTTGTTTTGGGTTTTTTCTGTGTGTGTTTTTTTTTTGGGCCTAACAAAAAAACGACGTTTCTTTCCCAAACAGGACCGGAAAAATCAATCGTTCTTTTCAATCGTTTTTTTTCACAACCGTTTTTTTCCACCTTGGAGGGGAGGAAATAATTCAGACAGAAAGTGGATGGAAAAAGGGTTCGGAAAATAAACAGGTGGTAAAAAGGGTTGGGAAAGGGTGCTGGATGCAGGAGACGGGAGATGAATGGTGCAGTGACGGGGGAGGGGGGATGCGGGATTGAGGAGGGGGTGGGTGGTTGTGTCGATATTGCAGCGAAGCACCGCAATGGTTATGATGATGGTGCTGGGGATACGTGGCAGTGCAGTGCAGGAGTGACAATGGATGCAAAGGTGTAAGACTGAAAGACACTTTAACCACAAAACATCGTCTTGTGCTGACAATGCCAAGAGGAGGGGAATGTGAAAATTCATGGGCAAAACAAGAAAGGAGTCCTCAATTTTTTAAACAGTAGAGAAGTTTATATCGGCTGTGATGAAAGTGCCTCCCTTACATCTCAACGCCACTTCCCTCTGTGTTGGCACCACCGTTGCTCTGGGTTGCCGTTAGGTTAGAGGCCGTCAGCTTAAAGGCGTCAGGTGAGAGGCCGTCAGCTTAAAGGTGTCAGGTGAGAGGCCGTCAGCTTAAAGGTGTCAGGTGAGAGGCCGTCGGCTGGGTACCACAGCAATGAGCTCAACTCCACATGGCTCGTACTAGACAAGCGATGTTGGTGTGGGAAGGGGCGAGTGGGAGAGAGGACGAAGGAGGTCGAGCATACTGCTGAGCGAGAAAGCGAGAATGGAAGTTTTATTTCAGTAAAGCAGTGCTAACATTCACTCTTCCATCAACAAGCTAGTGCCAGAACAGAAGCACCATACAGGGCATGGATAGGCAAATGCGCACAACGAGCGAAGGTGTTTGAGCAGCAGCAAACGATGGAAGAAGAAAGGGTGGGTGAAAAATAGCTTCAGATAGCTCCGCCTACCAAGAATATCAGCTAAGAAGTCATTCACATCATGGCATGTGATGTGATGATGCCATGCGCAGTGCATGCTTGCATCACTTTAGCTTCTCACGTGGAGCGTAAACTCCCCGGTTGACCAGCATATGATGAGCAGAACGCAGCTAACGACCTTTCACACGGAGTCACATCTATGGCTGCTGCTGCCTTACTCTTCCCTCCAACGCCTCAGGCATCGCCTGCGTGCCCCTCCAACGCCTCAGGCATCGCCTGCGTGCCCCACTTCTCGTGTAATGAACTATCTTGGCCCTGCCACGCTGCCTGGCCGTGTGTCGCAGCGATGAGTTGGGCACCTTATGACGAATGAGCCATTGGGACAAAGCGAAGTGATTTGAGTGGAGGGGATAGGTGTGGAATAGCGGGTTATAGATACGTATAGATGGGATGGGAGGAGAACAGGTGCGGTGGCAAAGGGCTAGGGGAGTCGTGGGGGTGGAAAGATGTGGCAGTTCCGCAGCAAAGCAATCCCAAGGGTGTGCTATTGGAGCGAGACATGTGACACTGAAGTGAAAGTCAGCCGACTGAAGACATGCTCACGACATTTTAGAGTGCGCACAACAGTGGAGGAGGGGAGTGATTGCGAGTGAATAAGCAAACCCATGCGGGTTCGTTAGAAAGAGCTCTACAGGCTTGAACACACCTTTGGACATAGTATCACCTTGCACCCCTCCATTATTCACATGGAACCTAAGAGCTACGCATTTTCAGCATGCAATGAGGAGCGTTCAGTTAAAACCATTATGTCACAATCTCACATCTACGCGTCCTTCCCTCCTGTCCGCCTCCACCAACTCGTGACTGACCAAACTCACCGCCACGACTGCTGTTGCTGCAGCCCACCATGCCGCCCGGCTGTATGCTGCAGGATCAGTTGGGCTCCTCATCACTGGCATAAGGAGAGTTCTTTTGGCCTGAGAAGAGAAAGTGAGTGTGGAGAAGAGGGAGGGAATAACATTGAAGCGAACTCCTGAGCGAGGAGGGAGGAGTGGAAGGTTGTTGATGATGGTTCCACGTCAGCAAACTTGTGCCAGTCATAAGCAATGCGGCAAAAAGAGCCACAAGTGGAATAAGACGTTGGGGAAAACAGTGCTCAGACTTGATCTAACAGAAGCAAGCTAAGCTAACACTAAAAAATATAATACTAGGTGCAATAGGGTGAACAGCAGGAAACAGAGGGAGGCATGACCAGCAGCACTGGATGGGCAAAAGAACGATAGAGTGAGCAGGTGATTTAGTTGTTTCCACCTCTTAGGAAGTTTGGCCGTAAAGGACCGTCCAAAAACACATCCCGCCAACCGGATTCGAACCAGTGACCTAAGGATTGCTGAACTACAGTCCTCCAACTTTATTTACAAAGTTCCTATGTACAAGAAGTTCTAGAGCAGTGGAAGCAAGTGTTAAGATGTGAAGAACAGGTGAGAACAAACAAAGTGATGGAGTGATATGAAAGTATAACGATGTGCAAAAGAGAACAAAAGTGGTTACAAAACAGTGGGGAGAAACAGGTTGGAAACTTCAACAGGACACACAAAAGAGAAACAAAGCAGAACTTGAAACCACAGAACAGAACAGAACAGAACAGAACCACAAAACAGAACAGAACTGAACAGAACAGAACAGAACCACAAAACAGAACAGAACTGAACAGAACAGAACAGAACCACAAAACAGAACAGAACTGAACAGAACAGAACAGAACCACAAAACAGAACAGAACTGAACAGAACAGAACAGAACCACAAAACAGAACCTAATGATACAAACAAGTGACACAGAAACAGAAACTGACCCACATGAAAAAAAAATAGCAACTGAGCTATAGCAGGACGCCCATTAAATTTTTTTGTTTTGTTTATAGTCAAAGAATTGAGAGAATGACAGAGGAGGGAATGAGTGGTGATGACAGAGGGGTAATGAGAGGTGCTGGCAAGAAGGGATGGGAGGTGATGGCAAATGGGGAAGGGAGGCGATGGCAGGGGGGAAGGGAGGAGATGCCAAGAGGGGAAGGGAGGTGATGGCAGGGAGGAATGAGAGGTGATGGCAGAGGGGGGATGAGAGGTGATGGTAGGGGGGGGTGAAAGGTTCTCCGCATTAGCATGTCGCCATGCCTGCTTTCAGATGAGAATACACACATATTTAGCACGCATAGTTTTTAATATTGAGGCTAAAAGCCCCACATGATCAGCATGAAAGACCAGCGTACAGCTAACACGCACTCACTCAGGGGCACACCATTACTCCTGCCTCGCTTTCCGCACCACAACAATTTTGTCACCTTCGTAAACCCATTTTGTAGCTTCACCATGGTGCTAGGCTGTATGCTGCAGCGATGATGGCGCGGTGCTGATGGTGTTCGAATTGGAGAGAACTTGGGGGGAGTGCACAAGGGCATAAATCAGAGCGAGAAGGGAAGTTGTGGATGAGTGTTGATGGTATTGGGAAAGCATCGCTCGAATTCATTGCATCTCGTCATAAAAGTAGCGTTAGAAACGCTATACTGAGCGCAGACATGTGAGAACGCAGACGGAGATTCAGAGAACGAGACATGTTATCTGCCATTGTGGCAACCTCTGCATTTGCACCGGTGCCATCCATTGGTAACTCGTCGACTGAAAGGCATCACATTCCATCTACTAGAATGATTCAGCAGTGCATCTTCCTACCTACATACAAGAAGTCAGCATTGGAACAGCACACGGGAAAGCCGAGTGTAGGATAGGATAGGATAGGCACCAGCAACTAATGCCAAAAATGAGGCTAGGTCAATCTGAGGCTAGGTCAATCTGAGGGTAGGTCAATCTGAGGCTAGGTCAATCTGAGGCTAGGTCAATCTGAGGCTAGGTCAATCTGAGGCTAGGCCAATATGAGGCTAGGTCAATCTGAGGCTAGGTCAATCTGAGGCTAGGTCAATCTGAGGCTAGGTCAATCTGAGGCTAGGTCAATCTGAGGCTAGGTCAATCTGAGGCTAGGTCAATCTGAGGCTAGGTCAATCTGAGGCTAGGTCAATCTGAGGCTAGGTCAATCTGAGGCTAGGTCAATCTGAGGCTAGGTCAATCTGAGGCTAGGTCAATCTGAGGCTAGGTTATTCCGAGACTAGCTCCCCTCAAGCAAGGTCCTTCAGAACCTATGTTAACTCAGAGGCTATGTTGGTCACATGCTAGATCAGCCAAAAGCCTGGTCATTTTACAAAATGGGTCAGTTGGAGGCTACGTCAGTCACGAGGTATGTCAAACAGAGGCTAGGTCAGTCACAGGGTAGGTCAGCGACAGGGTAGATAAGTGACAGCATGCTGAATGGGCCATGGAGAAAAACAGCACCCACGGGACTTCAGGAAGGGCCCAGGCCGACAATGCATCAGAAGTTACGCATCAAGCTCCGACACACGAATCAACAGCATTACTTGTATGCCATGAATTGCGGAGGCCAAGACTGGGATTCTATAGGGAAGCTCATGTATTGACTGAGGAGACAGAATTCTTACCTTTCTTCTAGGTTACTTCAAAATTCGAAGCTTTTCACGTCTTGCGTTGTGACTCGGCAGCGGCGGCGTGGGACATGCAGTGCGCGGTGCTGTTGGCGAGGCTTGGAAATCTGAAAGTGATGCAGGGAAGGAAGGCATGGGAAGAGCGGGACCTAGGAAAGTACTCAATGCATTTGATATTCGCTACAACTTGTTATCCTAACAAGGCAGACCAAAAAGTGGCGAGTATCAATCGCCTCGCCCGCTGGTCGTGGCTACACTACACGTATGCGGTGGACCCAGAAGTCTGAAGAACAAGCTTTACTCTACCATGGGTTGTACAGGAAATGCGGGTTACCATAGCTCTAGCGATTACAACACTTTGTAGCGATTATAATAAAATTTGCGTGGATTCAAATGAGGAAGCAAAAATGCAGGAATGTGTGATGGTGTGACTCAGCAGCAACGCAGGCCACACAGTCGTGTTCTCGTGGCATTGCGTTGCTAAGTGAATACCCGGAATGCCGTCAGATTGCCCTGAATAAGAGCACGGAGGATTGGAACTTTCATGCATGACTAAACGACAATCTACAGCGTTAATATATCTTACGCTAAGCTTTGATAACGTGGAATGAGACAGTTTGGAGGCAAAGGACGAGAGAAACGGAGAGTAAGGAGCATCACGGACTCGAAACCATCGAAAAATGGAGGGAGATGATGACGAGGGTAGAACTGGTGCGAAATGAATGGAATGACTGGACCAGCTTACCTCCGAACGGTTTCTAGTGTTTTGCAGATTGAAGCGTCGTGAGGAAAGGAGAGGCAATGACGCTTACTAGGCGCAACGAGTTCTACACACACCGAATGGTACGAATTGCTGCGCGAATCTCAAGTGAGAAATTGGAATGGCTTTGAAACGAGCAGATAATGCGTGAGGAAGGAGCGGAGGAATAACAGCCATACGACTGATACTAACTACTAAGCGGGTTCGGAATCTGAATGCGCCATAGATAACTAGTCATGCCAAGCTAAGATGTCTAATTAGAGAGTCACTAAGATGATGCTATGGGGAGCAGTCGAGTGACTCGTGCTGCGTTTCAAATTTGTGATGACGGGTAACCAAAAATCCACCTCATTCACTTATGTGTGCACGAAGTGCGATAACCAGCTCCGTACAAATGTCGTCACGTGAGCGAAAGAACGCCTTCGGAGTGCGAATAAGTTTGCAAGTCCGTAACGGATGAGGGAGGAACGATGGCACTAGCGTTGTACCTCGCTCAAGGCACATCTCTGGTTGAACCTGCGAACGACACATTGACAGCACATAAGGTCTCGGTCACTGCTCAATTCTTGAGCAGATTCGTATTTTTTTGCAAACATCGGGATGGTAACAGTTAGGGAACGTTCCTGGCCCGTGTCAAACTTCGGGCCAGGCTGCTTCACACGAGATGGAATAGACAGGCATGGGGCAAAATCGTGATTTCGTGTCAGACCTCCCTGGGGAGCCTGACACCAAGTAAACTTGGCCCGAAACTTGACACTGGCCAGGAACGTTCCCTTAGAAGTGCGAATTGAACTTGACGGGCGCTTCACATTGCAAATATTCTTTCACCAATTTCCTCCACACAATCTTCCCCGCTACTCGCTGCCACTTATAACTAACGCTGAACGCTACGTTCCGTTCGCCAACAGCTAGATCCGCGCCAGCAAGCACAGGTCTTACCGTCCACATTCGATAGCCGTCTGTGTCACACCTTGCCACGTGTCAGTGCATCAAAGGTGTCCAGATCGGAATCACGTAGCCCTTCTACTCTCGCGCAAACGCGCCTCGGTTGTATAACGCGCCACGTTTAGATCCAAGAACAATATTTTTTTTTCCCGTTCAGTTTTCAGTGCGAGATCCAACATGCAAGCAAAAGCACTGCGATCGACAGGGTGAAGCGAGCTGGAGGCGGGCTAGAGTAGCGGTTGTCCCCATATGATCCCGATGCCTCGAAACGCGTTCGCGATCAACCCAATGCATGCGTTGCCCACGTGGCTACGGCTACGGGGCGAAGTGCAGCCTGGCACGCTTGCGGCTGCTCATCGCACACGAGATGATGATGGGTTGGGTGGAACACCGCCGTTGCCTCACGGCGGGATGGGGCTAAGGGCTGGGATGGAGATATGAGAGGCAAACGGTGATGGATGAACGGATGGGATTGCGAGGTGGGTGATGCGTCCCTCCTGCCATCTCGTGTCCATTGCCTCCTCTGCCTGCTTCTTCCCCCCTCCAGTCAATACCCCAATGGTTTATCCAGTTTCGGATCCGTTCTGGCCTATTTTCCCTGCCCGAATTCCGGATAATCGCCTTCTAGGTTGGTCTCCTCAAATCTCTCTGCTTTTTCGACCCCTGTTCTAGAGCGCTGCCGGTCTCGTTTTTTTCGGTCTGCCAAGAAGCGCCTTGTTCCGATCTGGCAGCTCGTTGCTGCGATCTGACACGCCTGCCACTGCGACACACCAGGTACGCACGGCCACTCTACTAACTGAAAATCAAGGGGAACGCGTCCTGCCTCACTTTCGATTGGATCGCATCCTATCTCCCCTCCCATGAGTCCTGCTCCTCCCGTTTCAACCTTGCCTGAGCTCGTTGCTTGCTTGCTTCTTGGCGCAGCTTGGATCTACCATGATTTCTACATGAATTCCTTTCCTCTTGTAGTGCAGTCTTGTTCCTTGCTCTCCCCTCTTGCTTAGCCCTCCACTCACATTTCCACAAAATCGCTTTTCTGTTCTTCACTCTTGCTCAGCGATGCATTCACATTGTAGGTTACCAATGGATCATAATGTGATACCAGAGTTGAAACTGTTAATTTTCGCCAATTGTTCACCCACTCTTGAAACCCCACCTATTGCGCTTCTGTACTCTGTCACCTCCTCCCCTGCTTCCAACTGCAGAATATCTTGCTACCCATTCCCTCTTGCCGCCTGAGGTGCTACACTTCATTCCTTCATTCGTTCTGCACTCATCTTACAAGGTAGGCATACATACCTTCAGCTCCAAAGGCGCACATACCTTCAGCTCCATCCACTTTCCAGCGGATTCATAATGTGTTTCTTGTTATCGTCATTCTTATCTTCAGTCTAGCCGTTTTACACCCTTAGCCTTTGCTCGTCTCACCCTGCATCGTTACTCTCGCTCCCTCTACTCTACGCCTCTCACACTAAGCCTCACCTTAAGTATTGTGTCATCCGTCCATACTTGCGAGGCTCCTCTTCACTGCACGTTTTCTCTTTGTCTGCGCTCATTCTTGGCTCGGACCATCTTCTCGTTCTTCTAAGCGATCCCACTTACTCATTTCCTTCCGTCGACTGTCTTGATCTTTACATGCCGCCCATATGATCCATTCGCTTCCAACCCAGTCCCATGCTTCCTAGCCTTACACTCAGTACGTTTAGGGCGTGTGACATTTTTGAAAATCACTGAAAGTCCGGACCCACGTGCGACGTACGTCCGGACGCTTGCGAATCTGGCGACGTCGCACAGTCGCTTTGCGACACAAACGACGTCGTACGGACAAAATGCGACGCAAACGACGTCGCTCGTTTCTTCACGAGCTAATAGGCGAGAGTAAACGAGTTTGGTAACCACAAAACTGTCCGTACGGCTGGCTGTACGGACGACACAAATAAAAAAATGTCACACGCACTTATGTTATCCCTCTCTGTTTTCGTGTCTTCTCCTCCCCCCGCTGCTATTATGCCCTCCTTCCCCTGCTGCTGCGGCTTATCCCCTCCTCCTGCTGCCCTCCTCGCTCCCCTGGTTTGGCTGCTGCTGCACCCTCTCTCCCCTGCCTGCTGCATCTCTTTTCTTCTCGCTCGCATTTCTGCACCGCGGCCCGCCATGTTCAAGCCGAGCCGACTCTTAAGCATTGGCTGCTAATTTCTCAGTCTCTCATTGCCACTATTGTTCTCCCTTGCACTATACTATCAGATCTTCCCCGGTGCGTGCTTCCTGCGGCTTCTCTCACATGCGTGGCTGTGGTAAGAAGGCTGAGCTATTTGGGTCGTTGTCATGGCTTCCCTGCCTCCTCATGCAGCATGTTACTATCCCCCTTTCATCCTGTTTGCTTCCATCCAACCTGGCCTACTCTTTTTGGTTATTCAGCTTTTTGCGACCCTCACCTTACCTCACCTACTTGCATGGTGTGATGCAACAGTTAAGCTGTGTAAGAGCTAGAGGCATGCAATTTATCTGTTTTTTTTTTTCTAGTCTTCTATGTCTCTGCAAGTCGGGGTGAACACCTTTTACATCACCACATACCACAGTTACCTAGCTCGTGTGACTGACCTAGCTCGTGTGACTGACCTAGCTCGTGTGACTGACCTAGCTCGTGTGACTGACCTAGCTCGTGTGACTGACCTAGCTCGTGTCACTGACCTAGCTCGTGTGACTGACCTAGCTCGTGTGACTGACCTAGCTCGTGTGACTGACCTAGCTTGTGTGACTGACCTAGCTCGTGTGACTGACCTAGCTCGTGTGACTGACCTAGCTCGTGTGACTGACCTAGCTCGTGTGACTGACCTAGCTCGTGTGACTGACCTAGCTCGTGTCACTGACCTAGCTTGTGTGACTGACCTAGCTTGTGTGACTGACCTAGCTCGTGTGACTGACCTAGCTCGTGTGACTGACCTAGCTCGTGTGACTGACCTAGCTTGTGTGACTGACCTAGCTTGTGTGACTGACCTAGCTTTTGTGACTGACCTAGCTTGTGTGACTGACCTAGCTTGTGTGACTGACCTAGCTCGTGTCACTGACCTAGCTCGTGTGACTGACCTAGCTTGTGTGACTGACCTAGCTTGTGTGACTGACCTAGCTCGTGTGACTGACCTAGCTTGTGTGACTGACCTAGCTTGTGTGACTGACCTAGCTTGTGTGACTGACCTAGCTCGTGTGACTGACCTAGCTTGTGTGACTGACCTAGCTCGTGTGACTGACCTAGCTTGTGTGACTGACCTAGCTCGTGTGACTGACCTAGCTTGTGTGACTGACCTAGCTCGTGTGACTGACCTAGCTCGTGTGACTGACCTAGCTTGTGTGACTGACCTAGCTTGTGTGACTGACCTGCGGCTCGCCGCTGTTTACCATCCTATCCTTTTTGGCACTCCCCACTCACATTTCTTGCCCCTGCTGCCTGTCTCCCCTGCTCCTCCCCCTGACCTTCCCTTGTTCTGCTGCCATCTGACTTCATGCCAAATGCATGTGTATACAAGCTTTTCCTTGCACTGCTTGAGCCAAATGTGTGTTGTAACGCATGTCCTACATCTTGTAATTTAGTCTCTCGCTTGTTATGGTCCTTTTCTCTTCTCATGTTCGCATGTCTGGATTATTGTGTGCTTTCTTCTCCCCTCTTTTTGCGTTTTTTTCAAGACAATTGAACGTTCACTACGCAGGCCTCCGTTTGCTTTCGCGAGGTTCTAGAGGCGGCTGGACATAAAAATCAGTCACCTAAGGAGGGTCGTTCAAATTAGACCATTGGAACGTATGGCTGCTGACAGAATGTTGAGTGGTCTGAATGAGTTCATAAAAGAGGCGGTGCTGGCAGCAGTGAGAGAGGAGCTGGCTGCTGTGATCGAGGAGAGGGATAAACCGGTGGCTACTGTGAAGAGGGAGTTGGAAGCAATGAAGGTTGAGTTTGCAGCTCTGAAAGGGGCGTTGGCTGAACACAATCAGTCATCTAAGTTGCAGCTGGAAGAGGCTGAGAGGAGACGAGTGGCGGAGATGAGGGAGATGAGAGGGCAGGTGGAGGAGAGGGAGAGGGAGAGGGAGCTGACTGTACTGAAGGGGGAGCTGGCTGAACTCATGAACGCTATGACTGAGCAACTGGGTAATGCTGAAAGAAGGAGAGAGTCTGATATGAGAGAGTTGAGAGATGAAGCGAGAGCGGAGTTGGCAAGGGAGAGGAAGAAGAGGAGGAGGGAAATGCAGGAGCTGGAATGGCCACGTGCCATGGAGGATTTGGCAGCCTGCAGAAATTGGGTGAACGTTCAGAAGGAAATCAGCCAGAGTAAAGGCCATGAGAAGGCTGCTTGGGAGGTGAGTGTTGAGTGAACTGCTTCACAGGGCATGCATGGTTTGACAGACATGCATGGTTTGACAGAGAATTCATGGTTTGACAGGCGTGCATGGTTTGACAGAGAATTCATGGTTTGACAGGCGTGCATGGTTTGACAGAGAATTCATGGTTTGACAGGCGTGCATGGTTTGACAGAGAATTCATGGTTTGACAGGCATGCATGGTTTCAGATAACGTGTTTATTTGCTACTGTCACGATGGCCATTTCCTCGCTTTTCATTCATTCCGTCTTTACCCATCATCACCAGCGAATCAAGTCTACATCACAAGAAACGGAATCTCTAGTTTTGAAGGGCCTCAAGGGCCTCTCAGACGCTATCCTCAGCCATTTGTCGACACTGGTCAACCTGAAGTGGATAGACTTGAAAGACACCTCGGGCTTCAGTGCCGAGGGCATCAAGTACCTCTACAGGCTGCCAAAGCTGGAAAAGCTAGACTTCACATGGTCAGACGTCTCAGACAGTGCCCTGGAAGGCATTGGGGCCTTGACCAGTCTCAAGATCCTACGTCTGTGCGATACCAAGGTGACCGATGCTGGTCTACGGCACTTGACAGGCCTGTCCTCTCTCAAAGAGCTAGACCTTTCGCAATGCACGGATGTGACGGATGCTGGCATGGTGCATGTGGGGAGGCTGACACGGCTTGAGAACCTTGTTTTGAGGCGCACGGCCATCACAGATGCTGGGCTGCAGCAGCTGACTTCCCTTGCCAAGCTGAGAAGGGCGCCGCCTTGAGAATGATGATGTAAGCAGGCGGATAGGCAGGCAGGGTGGCAGCGAGGGGTGATGGAAAGGGAGGTGAGGAGAGGGACGAGTCGAGTGACTGTCTAGTGAGGGCAGGCATGGATGCGGAGGAGTCAGTCATGGAATCGTGGCAGCAGCAGTGGTGGCAGCAGCAGTGGTGGCAGCAGCAGTGGTGGCAGCAGCAGTGGTGGCAGCAGCAGTGGTGGCAGCAGCAGTGGTGGCAGCAGCAGTGGTGGCAGCAGTTGCAGCAGCAGTGACAGCAGCAGTGGTGGCAGCAGTGGCGGCAGCTGGGGCGGCAGCAGTGGCGGCAGCACTAGCAGCAGCAGTGGCGGTAGCACTGACAGCAGCAGTGGCGGTAGCAGTGGCAGCAGCAGCGGTGGCAGCAGTGGCAGCAGAAGTTGCGGCAGCAGTGGCAGCAGCAGAGGCAGCAGCAGAGGCAGCAGCAGAGGCGGCAGCAGTAGCAGCAACAGTGGTAGCAGCAGTGGTGGCAGCAGCATTGGGCGAGGGTTGAGATCAGGGGTGAGTAATGTCTCGCATGTCTGCATAAGAAATGCTGGCTGTTTGTGTGCAGGGTGTGCAATTATCTTCACAAAGGAGAGGGTACAGTGTGTGTGATGGAGCCTTCAAGGCATTGCGTTAAGTAACATGAACACCTTTAGTAAGATTTGCATGTCGTTATCCTTGATCAATGCTGTGCGATGGTACCCATCAGATCAGACAATGCTGAGTTGGTGGAGATAGGGTCTGTGAGCCTTGACCTGGATGGATGGCATGTCAGACATGTATGTGAGAACTTCGATCTCTCCTGCTGCAGGGTTTTCATGCAATAAGTTGTGCGCGCATGTGCCTTCACAGCATACTGCAATGCGGCGTAATTTGAAGCAGCTGCATGCAGGTGTGCTGTGCTTCAACTAGTCTCGCTGGCCTGATGATGGGATGCAATGCAAGCTAGAACCCCACTTTAGTATTTTGTCAAATTCAGAATGGCCTCTATTCTTAATTCAGCAGTAAACAGCTCCATGCCACATGTACCTGTATATCCTGAAGCAGATGAAGGAGATGCGCAACATACAGGAGGGAGAGCTGTTTGCAACGCATCAGCGACAACCAGATTCATTATATGGAGTTCTTCGTCTCCCACTTGCCTCCTGCAAGTCAGTGAAAGGGCCATATGGGTGGGTGTGCTGCAGCATGTGTGACTCTTATCCTTTCCCACGCAGGCACAGGTATACTTTTGCTTTACAACTGCCCTCCGTCCCACGGATCATGCCATGCCACCCAGCTTAGCCTACAAAGACTCATCTTGCATGCTGCGGCACATGCGTTTGCGTGCATGCCTATGTTGTGATACAAATGAAACAGAATGTGAAAAAACTGCACCTCCGCACTACACACACTCCACCCACTCGATGCACCCCCTTGTGGCTGGTTACCAATGACTTTGGTTTTCTGCTGCTGTGTGGTACCCACCCACACTGTATCCTTCAGAGATTAAGAGGATTATGTATGCGTGCGAGGGCAGAACTGAGGGAAACGAAAGTATTAAAAAAACGGTGGTGCAGAGGGATAAGTAGTATGGGAGGAAGAATGGGGTGAGGTAAGGGGCCAAATGCCTGACAATGTTTGTGACAATGTTTCCTGCTAGGACATAGAAGCATGGCTGCTTATGTAGCTCACAGAAAGAGATATCTATATGGTAAGAGGCAGACAACCTTATGGTGTCGAATGCTTACTTCCAGCCATCGTGGTTCTGCCCATGCCCCCAACATCCGCATGCCCCCAACATCCGCATGCCCCCAACATCCGCATGCCCCCAACATCCGCATGCCCCCAACATCCGCATGCCCCCAACATCCGCATGCCCCCAACACCCGCATGCCCCCAACATCCGCATGCCCCCAACATCCGCATGCCCCCAACATCCGCATGCCCCCAACATCCGCATGCCCCCAACATCCGCATGCCCCCAACATCCGCATGCCCCCAACATCCGCATGCCCCCAACATCCGCATGCCCCCAACATCCGCATGGCGTTGCGGCGCAAATGATGGGAGATGTGGCGAGGGCAGAGGGGCTACTACTTCTGTTCCCCACGCCCTGTCATCCACTCCCATGGCACTGTCTCTCCCCCCTCCATGCCACTGATACCACGCTGCTGTTGCCTGCTGCATTTGGTGCAGGGGGGGTGAATGTGGTACCTGCTGCTGCAGCAAGATGTGAAGGGCTCAGGTGGGGCACGTGGTCATGGGAGGGGTCAGTCAGTGCAAGCGCCTCCTCTTAGGTCATAGGAGGCAAAGCATATGGGAAGGGGGGCACAGGTGTGGCAGGTGGTGGTGGCAGGAGGGGTTTCCTCTCGCGGACCACCACCACCACGTCAGCAGCAGCCTCTACAGTGCTGCTGTAGGGGTGAACAGCACCCAGCCAGCCAGCCCCCCTCACCCGTGACCCAAAGTGACTCACAAAACCTACCACACAGTCACTACCCCTCACTCACGAAAAACATACACCTCCTTCTCCCTCTGCTCGTTCGCCATGTGCCGCCCACCCTCGCCCACCCTCGCCCACCCTCGCCCACCCTCGCCCACCCTCACTCAGTCGCGCCCAGCCCCCCCCACCACGGTAACGATCACGCACCACGCACGCACCTCGTCCTCTCACCGCTCGTCTCTTAAAAAGAAAACCGCCACGGGGCACCCAGCAGCTCCGCCCAGCGTCGCATGCAGCTTCTCGCACACCTCCGCCACATCAGCAATCGCTGGCGTGTTGCAGGGGTGAACAGCGCACCCGTGCCGTGGGGGTGGAAGAGGCAGGTGCGCAGCTGGGAGGGGCGGAAGAGAGGGAGGGAGGGGGGGAGGGGAATGGGGAGGGGGAAAGGGTAAACAGCAGAATGGCTGATGAGAGGGATGTGGGATCGGTGTCGTTGGGGCGCGAAGCCGGTTGGTCAGAATTTGGTGTGGGAGAAGCAGATGCGGGGCGGAGCTGGTGGTACGAGGGAGGGAGAGGGGGAAAGGACGAGGGTAATGGGTGGTGACGGGAAGGTGCCGTGCGGCCTTGGCAAGGAAAGCGCTCAGCGGCCCACAGGTTGAACAGTGCGCAGGTTCCCGGTGACGCCAATCCAGGCGCCATTTCGGGACTTCGCAGAGCCTCAGCAGCCCGCAGGTTCCCCGTGAACAGTGCCCAAGTTGCTGGTGGGAAGACGGGAGAAGGGTTCGAGGAGGAGGGAAGGTGACGGCTGAGGGAGTGTGCCCACACTGTAGGGGCAGGAAACCATGGGGGAGACAATGGTGTAGGAGAAGCAAGTGCGGAGCTGGGAGGGGTGGTGGGAATGGAGAGAGTATGGGGAAGGGGAGAGGTGAGCACCAAACGGGTGAGCAGTGCGCCTGCGCTGTTGCGGGGACGAGACTGCGCAGTGGGGCAGACGTGGGGCAGACGTGGGGCAGACGTGGGTGTAGGAGAGGCAGGTGCGGTGCAGAGCTAGAGCGGGAGAGGGGAGGGAGGGGAAGGAGGAAAAGCACAGTGATAATGAGAGAGATGTGGGAGACTGCTGTGCGGCAGCACAACACCAACACCACAGCAATGTAGGGCGTGAACTGTGGGGCAGACACTGGTGTCGCTGTAAGAGACGCAGGTGCGGACCTGGGAGCTGGGCGAATGGTAAGTGATTGAGGTCAAGAAGCAATTCAACCAAGCCAGCAATTCATACAAAAGACTTAACTCCAGCCCTCAATTTCTCCGAATCCTCGCTGGCTCCTCCGCAACTCTCAGAGGCTCCCATCTTGGCGCGAGTGACTTGAGTGATTCCTACACGCATCTCTTCTGTCTCGTACCGACTCTCGTCTCAGCTTGCCGACCTCAGCAAGCCAATCTCATCTTGTCAGCCGCCCACATTGATAACACCCACCACATCCTCTATGGTCTTCACCAGCCCCAGCAGCAACTCCCCCTTCACCGCGCCTTCAGCACCCTTCATCCCTCCCTCTAGTGACTCTCACACTCGCTTTTACCCCACAGAGACCCCTCACCGACCTTCACACACATACTCACCTCTCGCCGAATTTTGACCCGGCTTTTCAACCGCAACCCCATCGTCAATAACGCCAGACGCGTTCAGAATGGCCTCCGGCAGCCCCATCAGCAGATCCCCTTTCACCCCCCTCTTCGCCCTCCATCCCGCTCTCCCTGCCTCCACCAACGGCGCTTGTGCTGTTTGGTGGTTTCCCCGCTCGTCTCGCGGCTGGTGCAGCGCATGAAGGTTCGCAATTCATCATCGCCATCACCACAGCAGAGACATCGCCTGACAGCTGCCGCTTCAGCCTCAAGGCCGTGCCCTGTTGCGACTCTCGACAAAAAGCTCCGTCGTCTATCCTCTTGCACTCCACTCGTCCCTTTCCCGATCCTTCCGCTGCTTGCGTTCCTTCTCCTGCAACGCCTCTGCTCCTCCACTCGCTCCTGCTCCTTTTCTCTGCGTCACCAAGCGCGCCTGTGCCCTGCCTCGTCCGCATATAACGGGGACAAAAGACGTGACACAAGCGCACGCCTGTGTTGGTTAGCGTGCAGAAGTTTGTGGCATTTCACAAAATGCGAAGCTTCGCGAGGACCCGTCATGGGATAGTCTCGGAGGAGAGGCGCAGCGGTAACTGAACGAGCTGCGCCTCTACCCATAATGCAAAGTACAAGTTGCAGATTGCAATTCGTTTTCGCTCGCGAATCGAAACAACGCCTGAAAATAATTGTTCGCCTAAACGTAAGTGAGGGTCCCCCCCCACCCTCCCTCTCTACACGACCTAACTCGACCTCCTTAGTATAGGGAGCCCACTAGTTTTAGGGCAGCTATGGGAGTATCGAAACCCTAGCTCAGCCTGCCAGCAAGTTGATAAGAATTTCGTTATTGCAATGCAGTTACAAGCTCAGCACATGCGCCTCACATTTTCATCCTACAGCAACATCGAGGGACCCTCTATTGAAGCAAGAAGTCTCAACTTGGTCGACCAAGTTCGCTGGATTCCAAAACCACCAGTCCCAGTTCGAAGCATTCGCGAAACCAGATATCGACCGAAGACCGCGAGCTGACGTGGTGTGCACTAATTTGGTTACCCAGTATTCGCAAATCTGCCTCACCACCACCACAACAAACTTCCGCATTCTCCCAATCCCGAACCGCGTAGTAGCCGCGCCTCGATTCACACTCAAACATTGATCTTGGCACGACATTTCGAGTTTCGGTCCCTCCATAAATTCCCGTCGACACAAGTAGCAAATCGTCAAACCAGCTGATTCCACCACACCTTGTGCCATCAGGAGCCAGCCCGTTCTTTTCAGCTCGTACTCAGCCCACCGCCACCATCATGGCTGCTCTCTCCTCCACCACCGCGGCTTCCGCCGCTTCCGCGTTCGTCGGCTCCAACGCGGAGCTCGCGGCGAAGGTCCGCAACGTGGAGTGTCGCGTGACGATGCGCAAGGCCGCACCCTCTGATAACCTGAGCCAGTGGTACGGCCCGGATCGCAACCTGTTCCTTGGCCCGTTCAGCGCGCCGCCCGCGTACCTGAAGGGTGAGTTCCCCGGCGACTACGGGTGGGACACGGCGGGGCTGTCTTCGGACCCCGAGACGTTCGCCAAGAATCGCGAGCTGGAGGTGATTCACTCGCGCTGGGCCATGCTCGGCGCGCTTGGCATCGTGTTCCCGGAGCTGCTGGCGCGCAACGGCGTGCCGCTGCAAGAGGCGGTGTGGTTTAAGGCGGGCGCGCAGATCTTCTCCGAGGGCGGGCTCGACTATCTGGGCAACCCCGGGCTCATCCACGCGCAGAGCATCCTCGCCACGCTCGCCGTGCAGGTATGTTCGTTGTTCACTTCTCTCTTACAAACCTTCCTTTGCTGCGTCGTTGTCCAGATGCGCTCCGTTGTTCTTAAAGCCGCGGTGCAACTATCAGCTTCAACTTCAAAGTATTATAGCTTGGAAGAGGTTGACCCAGGCAGTTCACAGGCGAGAGGTTTGTCCTGTTGTGAAACTCGAGTGTTTTCGACCAATAGAAGTCCAGTTACTCACATGCGAGTTTTGTCCTGCTACTGTTTCTAAGAAGTTGCACCGCGGCTTTAAGTTCTCAGATGCCCTGCTTTGGCCCCGTCAATTGTGTAGGGAAATTTTCATTTCGACTCCCTTTTTCCTCGTCGTTAAACATCGCGATCTGCAAACACACACACTGACGTCACAAAGAATTTGGCCCAAAAACAATGCTTCGGGAATGCTCTATCAATGCTTGAAGTACTTCGTGGGAACAAACTATTACATCCCAAAAATCGGGCTCGCAAAAACCTACCCCAAGGTTTCCTTTGGGTTACCCCGCTGTGGGTAACCCAAAGGACTCCATCTAGGAGTCCTTGAGGTCACCTCAAAGTTCGTTGTGACCTCAAGGTTACCCACGGAGGTAACCTACAGGTTAGAGCGATGTTACCGCTCCCATGTTGCTGGAGCGAATCAGATGCCACCTTCGTACGCGCCGCGATCAATTATTTAAATAGTACACTCTGACGGTACATTTTATCGAATCGTTAATAGATACTAACACGTACGTTTGATTATGGTTAATTATCCATTACATGATAAAAGAACTATCCACATTCATATAATTACACAAGCGAGTGTATGCGTTTGATAACATCGAATGTTTGTAGTTTAGTTGATGCATATACAACCACCATCACACTGATAATAAAAATTAACATTACATTGAGAGATACCAGATCGTGCCGTATGCCTTCGAAAGCACACAACTACAATTAGCACCGCAACAGACCCACATCTCTCCATAGTATAACAAAACTTCAGAATAAGGTGAAGAAATATTGCCTGTCACAACAAGGTATCGAAATTAACAAGCAGAGAGTGGTCAGTAAATGAAAAGCGCAAATCAAGGATCCACACGGACAGTGAAACATTACCATGTCGCCACACCACAGCTGTCCCTTAACGACGACTGTCTTCACACCAGAGACAGTTAATTTGGATGTAGAGAGAGTTAAGTCTGCACAAGCACGAAGCAGTGCCAACGCTTTGCAATGAAACAAATTCCACGACGAGGAGAAAGCCAGTGCTAGCCGGGTAGCTGACATATAGAACATCGCCTATGACAAACAGAACGACGACAAGAAGCAACACCGAATGAACGGCGCTGATCATGCAACCCTCGGACAGCAGTTTAGGAATATCGAAGTCTAATAGCTTACCTCACGAGCACTATTTCAAGCTGAATGTGCGCGATGTTGCCGAAGAATCACGCATCGAGCCAACCTCGGGTAATCTGCCATCAAGACGCAATAATCAAATAAACAAGTCATTAAACCTCGGCACCACGGAAACTTCCAATACGTCGCCGGTGAAATAGTGAAAACGTAAGGAACCTAATCTCTTAGCGTGCATGCATAGCTATATGGAAACTATCCGCCATGTATAGCGACGATCGTGGGGCTAGGGAGACATAGCGAGGGAGAAACAGAGCGGGAGAGATAGCATGAACTTCATGGATAAACAATGAAGAATGAGAGCAGGTACTGGTAAAGTACTTGGCGAATGAACTGTTTTTCTGAAGTGATGAGGAGAGCTGTGATTGGTCATTGGTATTCTGCCAGCCTACCAACGAAACCCATCAATTGAACCTTGATATGGGGAGGTTCGTTATAACTGGATGTATAATGAACAAATGTTTACCATTGCCGTTGTAATCTCAGTGCTGTACCCTGAACTTGCTTGGGGTTCAGCTTCGGTTGCCGAAACAGTGGAAGTAAACCAGGCGACCAACCTCGTTCCGAAGCAGGGAGGGTTTCCTTGGGGTGACACCAAATCTTGCTGCATCCTGATTCGTCGAAATCATATTCTCGATTGCTAAACGATATGGTGACAGAATTCGCCCGCGTCGTTGATGACCAAAGGTTTCCTTTTGGCAACCCAAAGGCAACTATGGGGTAACGTAGGAAGCGATACCCCAAGGTATCCCTCGATCTTGTACCAATTTCAGCGTTCGAATTTTTGGGATGTAGCAATATGATGTGCAATGTCTAGGAAAGGGGCGACAATGTCTAGGGTTTGTTTAGGAAAGGTACGCAACCACTGCTCAGGGAATGCTAAAGGAGGGCTCGACCATTGTGCCTGACTCGACACTGGCATCTTCGACTCTAAGCAGGAGCCTAGCACTACACTTCAGTGACACAATTATCCGGGCCGCGTATACTGTAAAAAAATAACGGGTTTAGTATTGTGCCCTAACAAAGCAACATGCCTGTAAAGCAAGGGGCTATAGTGATGGCAGAGTTGTAACAATAACGTGTGAACAAGGTAACCACAGCATTCTCCGAGATGAGTTTTAGGTTTTGGGGGCAGTGTATATTGGACCAACATCAGGGCATACATCATGAGCATTGCTATGACAACGTGAGACATTTTTGTAAGGCGAACACGCACGAGATTGGAATCTGTCCTAAACAACATTGAGAATACAGAGGCACAGGCACGGGCAAGCTATCGCACAGCAGGGCACGTGTACGCCATGTCACACGCATGGATGCGAGATTGGCGGCTAAAATGTGCGAAGCGACAGCTACACTTCAGTGCAGCCAAGCGCGCAAACACCTCGCGAGGTGTAACCGGCGGAATGGGTACCGCAGCGAGCGCAAGCAGAGTGGGCGACATGCCCTTCACCCCGTCTTCAGAAATGCATACTGGCCGACGTGGCGGAAAGATACGTGCATATCGAAATCCCAGAATGGACCCTGCTTATATGAAGATCGGAAATTAAACCTGCGCAAACCGCAAGAAAACATGGTGAAAGATTGCTGGCAAGCATCAATTAGGCGCCAACAAGTCACACGGCGAGCAACTTCACTTGTGCAGCAGTACTTACAATTTCAACAGGAGAAACAAACCTGGCCTCGATGAAACGCGCAACGATATTTGCGTGCCGTCTCGTGCGCCAAAAGCGGACAGATAGAATAACCTGCTAGAGGGGGCGACGTAGAAAAGGGAATAGGGGAATGGGCGGGGCGGTACGTTAGTAACGTGGCTGAAAGAAATTAGAAGGAACAGCAGGACACGAAGCTACGAGTTTGATAGTAGGGCAAGCAACCACCGAAGCAGAAATGCGACAGAATGCTTGATAAGGGACACCTTTGAAGCTGGGGGTGGCCTCCCTCCCTTCGCTCCTTAGGTTTTCAGCTCTCGATGATGCTGCCAGCTGTGCCAGCATAGCACGTATGGCGCTATCGCAGTGGCTGGCGAATTGACAAGGCAGGATCGAAGTGGTTACTGCTGCTCAGGAATGCTAGTCGCAAAGTTCCAACACACGTGCTTCATATGCGCTGGAAATAGGTATCGCGTCTGAGGGAGAGTTTGCAATGACGTGTCAATTTCCATTTGATGAGGTTACCCGTTACTGAGAGACTCTATACAGTTCGGGATCGGTACACTGTGGTAGTCGAGTATACATTAGTTGCGGTTACAATCTTAGCAGAACATTTGCAGCTGCGACTGTAACTGTAACGTGAATTCACTTTCGCACTGTAACCTGCGCAGTCGGAAGTCGCTTGATCGCAGTTTGGAGAAGGGGGTGCGTCGTTATGAAATTGCGCCCACTACCAAGCCAAGTGTGTTTCGTGCCAATATTTCACACGTGTGGCAGGGCATGGAAAACCCTAACACAGGTGAGACACAGATCTGGCAGACATCTGACATGCCTCTGACAAACCCCCTGGGTGGATACCCTGGCATTGGTGGACATCGGACCCTCGAGGCCCATCAAATTCTTTGTGACGGACGCATCTCTGTTACGTGGTAACTCGATGCGTCGTTCCGCAGGTGGTACTTCTGGGCGCAGTGGAGAGCTACCGTGTGGGCGGTTTGGAGGGGTTCCAGGAGGTGGAGGATCCGATCTACCCGGGCGGTGCAGCGTATAAGATTGGGATGTCAGGCTGGCGTGGGTGGTGGCATGATATAGATTTAGTAAACAGGCTGCTCTCAGGGATCTATCACCCTACTCTCTGCTGCTAGAAAGGAAACCAATACTGCCTATAGACGTGCCTAGGATTCTCACAGACACAGTGATGGCCGGAGGAGAGGAGAACTGGGTGGGGCTAGCAGAGGCAAGGACAAGATATCCGAGGGAACTGCTGCTTCACGTGGCTCAGCTCAGGGATGCTCAACGATAAACGAAGAGAGGCGACGCTGACAACAGAGAAAGGACAAGGAGCTGGGGGCAGGAGAAGAGGTGTACCTAAGGCAAGCGAAGTAGGATATGATGGACATAGGGGTGAGTACGGAGAAATGGAAGGTGAGAGAAGTAAAAGAGTCCGTAGTGGTGGTGATGGTGAACGGCCAAGGGCAAGTGAGAAGGGACCACAAGACAAACGTGGCAAGGGCACAAACCAGAGCAAGGACGAAAGAAGAGGAGGCAGAGAGAGAGAGAAAGAGAGAGAGAGAGAGAGAGAGAGAGAGAGAGAGAGAGAGAGAGAGAGAGAGAGAGAGAGAGAGAGAGAGAGATGCCTCGGTGGCGGACCTGCTGACAGCATCTCGACTCATTGCCCTGGCCAAACCGGGAGGAGGTGCCCGACCAATCGCGATCGGCGAATGCCTGACGCGTCTGGCTGCCAAGGCTGCGCTGTCGGTCATGGGCGAAGCTGCACGTGAACACTTCCTACCCCTACAGTACGGCGTGGCGGTACCAGGAGGGGCGGAAGCGATAATTCATGCCGCCCGAACGTACGTGGATGGCCACCCCAACAGCCTGGTACTTCAGACCGACATCGCAAACGCTTTCAACAGCATTTCGCGACAATCCATCGCAGCAGCGTTACAAGATCCAACCCTGTCGCAAATTCTCCCTCTGGTTCGCCTGACCTACGGTAACCCATCGCGGCTCTACCTGGATTCGAACTTTGCGAGCGAACCCCTGCGTAGCGAACGAGGCGTTCGCCAGGGCGATCCACTGGGCCCACTCCTTTTTGCGACGGGAATCCACCCCACACTTCGCGACACTGCAGCAGCTCACCCTGAGGTGCTTTGCTTGGCGTATGCAGATGACGTGACATTTGTGGGTGAACCACGTGCTACTGTAGCTGCCTTCACCCACTTCACCACGAGGTTAGAATTGCTGGGTTTAAAACATAACCCTCAAAAGTGTACCGCATGGAGCGCCGCCGCGGGCGATTCACCTGAGCTGCCTCCAGGGGTGCCGTTCTGCAAGGACGGCGTTCGTCTGTTAGGGAGTTTTCTGGGGGCGGCCGACGGGGCAGCCACGTTCTTGGCGGGGCAGCTGAGGGACTTGGCGAAACCATTGCCACTCATCGAGAAGGCCGACCCACAGGTCGCCTCGCTGCTGATCACGCGCTGCATCTCTCGGCGCGTGGCGTATCTCACCCGAACAACCCCCCTCAATCTCGTCTCCCGGGATACATGGACAGAGTGGGGCCGTGACCTCCTCTTGGCACTACTCACCTCGTGCAACATTCGCGCACCGGCGGGCAAAGCAGAGCAGTCACGGGTCTGGGCTCAGGCGTCCCTACCCCCCTCTCTTGGTGGAATAGGCATTACAGACCCCCTCGTCGAGGGAGTTTACGGCTTCGTCGCAAGCTCCACGCAGGCGGCGCTGCTCTTCTCCGCGCTCGCGCTAGACCCGGACTCCGCACTATCTCACGCGCGCTGCCATATGCTCCTGCCTAGGGACGAGAGCACTCCGCTTCACTCCTGGCTCGCCGAATGCGAAACCGCCCTGCCTTCTGACGCGCGAGAGCTGCTAGAACGGGAACGTATTAAGCGGACGGATGTCAAGCTGCAGCATGCCCTCGCCCTACAGGTCCACGGTAGCCGCTACGCAGTGCAAGTACGGGCGACGAGAGACATGGAGCTGAATCCGCTGGCGGGCCATACGCAGCGGATGTTTTCTCTAACGGGCTATGGCACGGGGGACTGGCTGACGGCGATACCTATCGAGGCGACGAGGCGCATAGGACCGGCACACTTTGCCAATGCCGTCAGATTCAGCGGGCGGTGCAGCGTATGAGCGGGCGGTGCAGCGTATGAGCGGGCAGTGCAGCGTATAATCGTGCGGTGCAGCGTATGAGCGGGCGGTGCAGCGTATGAGCGGGCGGTGCAGCGTATGAGCGGGCGGTGCAGCGTATGAGCGGGCGGTGCAGCGTATGAGCGGGCGGTGCAGCGTATAAGCGGGCGGTGCAGCGTATGAGCGGGCGGTGCAGCGTATGAGCGGGCGGTGCAGCGTATGAGCGTGCGGTGCAGCGTATGAGCGGGCGGTGCAGCGTATGAGCGGGCGGTGCAGCGTATGAGCGGGCGGTGCAGCGTATGAGCGGGCGGTGCAGCGTATGAGCGTGCGGTGCAGCGTATGAGCGGGCGGTGCAGCGTATGAGCGTGCGGTGCAGCGTATGAGCGGGCGGTGCAGCGTATGAGCGGGCGGTGCAGCGTATGAGCGGGCGGTGCAGCGTATGAGCGGGCGGTGCAGCGTATGAGCGGGCGGTGCAGCGTATGAGCGGGCGGTGCAGCGTATGAGCGTGCGGTGCAGCGTATGAGCGGGCGGTGCAGCGTATGAGCGTGCGGTGCAGCGTATGAGCGGGCGGTGCAGCGTATGAGCGGGCGCTGGGGCTGGCGGACGATCCCGACGCGGCGGCGGAGCTGAAGGTGAAGGAGCTCAAGAACGGCCGCCTCGCGCAGGTGTCGGCGCTGGGCTTCTTCGTGCAGGCCATCGTGACGGGCAAGGGGCCCCTCGAGAACCTCGCGGACCACCTCGCTGACCCCACTGCCAACAACGCGTGGGCGTACGCGCAGAACTTTGTACCTGGCGCGTAGAGGAGTGGAGAGAGGCTTGATGAGCTTGGAGGAGTTTCGAGGGCGTTGGAGGGAGTTTGAGGAACCCGAATTCGTGGTTGCTGGGATCTCTGGGATTTGGTGAACTTGCATACGGTATATCTGTACAGCCAGGATTTGTGTATTTTATGATGTTTTTGAGGTTTGAGAGTCGTCTGACCTGAACCCTTTCAGCTCATTCTGAGATATCACACAACAATACCCCAACTACTGAGGTGAATCTGTCGCTGTGAATCACAAAACCCGTTCCATGCCTGATCTGTGATGTGGCTTGTGCTCGTCCTAGTGCATACCTTCCTAGGCATGGGTTTCACCATTTTGAGATGGGAATACTGCAATGCAAGGTAGCTAGCTAGGCCATAAGAAACACATCAGAAGTTCGTGACATTTCGAATCTTGTAATATAAGAAATACACGAGAGAAGCACAGTTCCAGAAGCGGGTATGCCAGCTCATGCATTCATATTCTTACTGATTCCCCTCACCCCTACATCCTCCATCTCCTCCCCCCTACACACCCAGTCATCCCCTGCTCCACCCCAGCGCCCCCCTCATCCGCATCACATCCTTGCTCAAGGTGGACCGCGGGGTGCCCCAGAACACGTGGGCAAGGACACACACACCATCTTCTCCACCATGCTTCTCATGCTGCTGTGTGCTACGGTATGTTCCTCGCTGTCTGTAGCTCTGCTGCTCCTGGCACGGCTGACTTGACTCGAGGGTACTGGATGGCGGATTTTTCGCCCCAAACTAGGGATTTCATCATCCAGCCGAACCAGCGGAGCTCCTAAACACAGGAGGGAGGGGCGAGGAGATGGAAGATGGGATGAAGTCTCTGCCCCAGAACACGTGGGCAAGGACACACACCATCTTCTCCACTGTGCCTCTCGTGCTGCTGTGGGATATGCTGCCCGCTGCCTGCAGCTCCGCGGCTCCTGGCGCGGCTGATTTGACTCGAGGGTACTGAGCAACGGCTGCCTCGCCCCAAAATAGTGATTTCAGCATCTGGTGGAACCCGCGGAGCCCCTGAGAAAAGCAGGGGAGGGTTCCAGCAGGCAGGGGACACGTGGGAGGCAGGCACGCGGGCAAAGAGAAAATATTGGTTTCGGTAGAGAGAATGAGGTAACGTGCGGTTGGGGGTAACTGATTGGGAGGTATTGGGCAACGTGAATGTTGAGATGGTTTTTGCTTCCAACAATCTGGTCATTTCTAAGCCAAATCAAGTCACCCATTAGGGCTCCTAGTCGCCCTTTGCCCCTAACCCCTCCTCCCGTACTGCCGGAAGCCACCAAATTTGCCGATCCGCGCAAGTCGGCGCTTGGAATCTGCCAAACCGCGTGAATTGGTGGGCCATTTCGTTGACTCGTCAGACTACCGACCCACCCTCGGGTCACAGGTGACCCGGCCCTATAAGCTTAGGTCGGTTCAGCCACCAAAAAATCTTGACCCGAGGTCGGATCGACCCAACCGGACCGGCACCCGCCCTGGGTCGGCCTGGGTTGGGACGGGCTGGGACGGGTTGACCCATTGCTCATGCCTAACCCGGCCCGACCTGACCCGTTCCGTCCCGACCGAACCGAACCAGATTTGGACATATGACCATGCCCCAAGCCGACTGAAGTGAACCCTACCAAGAGAGACCACAGCGGCGTCTTTGAGGTGCGTCAGAGGAATTAGCCAACCCCTGACCTGACCTGAACCGACCCAACCAAACCCAAGCCTCTGACTGTGTCCCCCTATGGCAAACTTTCTCGAGCTGCTGTAGGGAAATGAACGAGCATGCCTTGGCCTGGCGTGATGGGTCCTTGTACTGGAGGGGCGTGGAGTGTAGAGTGTGTGGAGTGTAGGGTGTGGAGTGTGTGGAATCTTGAGTGTGGAGTGTGGAGTGTGGGGTGTGGGGAGTGGAGTGTGTGGAGTGTGGGGTGTGGTGTGTGCGGAATGTGTAGTGTGGAGTGTGAGGTGTGGGGTGTGGGGTGTGGAGTGTGGAGAGTGTGGGGTGTGGAGTGTGGAGTGTGGAGAGTGTGGGGTGTGGAGTGTGGAGTGTGGAGTGTGGAGGGGACGAGAGATAAATGAGGAACAAATTTAGCGGATCAAGAGTCACCTGCGGCATGGGAAGGATAGAGCGTGCCTTGGCCTGACTCGTACCGGTGAAATGTGGAGTGTGGTGGATAGGAGGGGGATGAAGGTATGCAAGGAGGGCAAAGGAGAAGAGGTAAATGAGGGGGTCGACTCGTGCATCGGAATGAGTGAGGTGTTTACTAACATTGAAATAAGTGGTAAGCGTTTGATGGCATCACAGCCATTGCAGGAACGCTGATAGATACATACATATTCCTCATGCATACAGGCCACATACCTGCAGTCAGCGTGCAAGTTCCTCATCTCCCGCTCTGCTGCTTTCCCCCTTACGACCCTTTTCCACCTCCGCCCCATTCTTACCCTCCGCCCCCTTCTCCCCCTTCGCCCCTGTTTCCCCCTATCGTGCAGCACGAGCTCTGCGCCACTAGTTTGTAAAAGGCCATATCGGCATGCGGCGAGGAGAGAGAAAGGTGCCACGGCAAACAGGAAGGTGGTAAGAAGAAATCAAAATGTCTCTGAGGCGGCTCATGAACAAAACTGGCAGGTGGTGAGGTGAGATGAGGGTCGAGCTGGAGAAAAGGAAGAGCTGTAAAGTCGCCAAGGGAAGATGCCCTAGCGGCTCGTAAGAGGGAGTGGCCTGAAACACAAAGAGTATGCGGCAAGGAGATCTCAAGAGACATTCCAGAGGAAAGGGATGGGTGCAAGGGCGCCAGAGGGACGGCGGTAAGAAGGGAAAAAGATGCTCTCTAAATGCGTCCTCCAAGATGGAATGGGCATGTTGCAATGAGAGGTCCATGCACAGGCCAGGTGAGAGGGAGAGGTGCAAGGGTGCCCGGCGAAAGGAAGTCAGACAGGATGAATCTGTCCTGCAGAATATTTTTAGTCGACTCACAAATTGCCTTCACACACAAACCGGCATCCGGCAAGTGAAGGTCAAGGGATAGACCGGAGAAGAGGGTGAGCTTTAAGGGCACTGGCAGAAAGGCATCATGCTGGCGACAAGGGACAGAGGTGACCACTGGTTTCACCAGCCTAAGGTCGACCTTTATCCCATGAAATGGAGAGTGAGGAACTTCTTGAACTCGCAAAAATCCTCACTAGAGGTGACTTCTGCAATGGAGAATGAGAAGCTTGCGGAAAGGGGACAGGGAGGGAGGTACGGTGCGACTGTGCATGCCGCTGTCACTTCGTCATATCATGTGAAACACAATCAGGACCACCATTAAAATATAAGTGAGTCGTTCAGATCCATTCTTTTAATGACTCTGATGGAGTCCCCCAATTCAGTTCAAACAGGCCTCGATGCTGGACGTACCGATTGGTTCTCGGGCGAGAACCTGTGAGCGAGGCGATCTGAATCTGCAACACCTGCACGACAATGAACAGCCAGGGATGGACGACCAGAGATGGACGGCCAGGGATGGACAGCGAGGGATGATTTGGGAGGAAGGGGGAAGTCGACGGGGAGAGGGGAGGGAGGGGAGAAGGGATGAGCTTAACACGATTCACAATATGAAGGGTAGGTCAGCACATGCGCCTGGTAGAGTGGGAAAGAGGATAGGCTGGCTGGGCGAATTATCGAGTTATCTATCACAAATTCAAAGGGAGTCAGGCCAAGGTAGTTGGTTGAGATGCATGAGAACAGGTGGAGAATAGGCCCCTCCCGCGAGTTGCTTTCCTCACAGGTACACTGTACAACTATCGCATACCTTTCGCCACAGACAACTTCTGAGGTGCTTCAAAAGGGTTTTGCATACCCCGATCTCTCTCTCGTCCCATCCCTCGTGGGAAGAGGAACAGTTTCAGTCTTCTATTGCCTCTGGCCCTGTATGACCCACCTGTGTCCCCCCTGTGATAAGTCCAAGGCACTTGCTCTCTGTCCCTTTCATGCCCATCCCATCCTCGCATTCTTATCCCCCCATGATTATCTCCCATAGCTCTTCCGTCGCCTCTACTATACCTGTCCCCACTTCTCGCATCCTTAGTCTCCCCATCCCTACTATACCCGTACCTACTCTCCCCGTCCCTATTACCTTATCCTCGTCCCTCTTCTCTTCTCCCCGTCCCTACACTCCCCGTCCCTACTCTCCCCGTCCCTACTCTCCCCGTCCCTACTCTCCCCGTCCCTACTCCCCCCGTCCCTACTCTCCCCGTCCCTAATCTTCCCGCCCCTACTCTCCCCGTGCCTAGTCCCTCCGTCCCTACTCTCCCCGTGCCTAGTCCCTCCGTCCCTACTCTCCCCGTGCCTAGTCCCCCCGTCCCTACTCTCCCCGTGCCTACTCTCCTCGTCCCTAATATCCCCGTCCCTCCTATCCCCGTCCCTACTATCCCATCCCTACTCTCTTCATCCCTACTCTCCCCGTGCCTACTCACCCCGCCCCTACTATCCCCGTCCCTACTATCCCTGTCCCTACTCCCTAGATCCCTACTCTTCCCGTCCCTACTCTCCCCGTGCCTACTCTCCTCGTCCCTACTATCCCGTCCCTCCTATCCCCGTCCCTACTATCCCATCCCTACTCTCTTCATCCCTACTCTCCCCGCGCCTACTCTCCCCGTGCCTACTCTCCCAGTCCCTACTATCCCGTCCCTACTCTCTTAATCCCTACTCTTCCCGTCCCTACTCTCCCCGTGCCTACTCTCCCGTCCCTACTCTCCCCGTGCCTAGTCCTCCCGTCCCTACTCTCCCCGTCCCTACTCTCCCCGTGCCTATTCTCCCCGCCCCTACTATCCCCGTTCCTACTATCCGCGTCCCTACTCCCTTAATCCCTACTCTTCCCGTCCCTACTCTCCCCGTGCCTAGTCCCCCCGTCCCTACTCTCCCCGTGCCTACTCTTCTCGTCCCTACTATCCCCGTCCCTCCTACTCTCTCCGTCCCTACTCTCCCCGGCCCAATTCTCCCCGTCCCTACTCTCCCCGTCCCTAATCTCTTCTCCCCGTCTCTACTATCCCGGTCCCTACTCTCGTCGGGCATACTTCCATCGTCCCTATTTCCGCCTGCCTATTTCCCGTCCCTATGAAAGCCTGCTTATTTCCCGTACCACCGCGCATCACTCCGTGCCACCGTCCCGCGCATCCCTCCACCTGTGGCGGGGCCGCCAACGGTGTTCGAGCGTGAATGCGCGCATCTCACCCGCCTCGTCACACGCACACCTGCCGCTTCAGTTCCGCCCACGCGGCTGCAGGCGCGCCTGGCGGAATGGCGGTGGGCGCACGCCAGGCGAGGCAAGCAGCACCGACGAGCACCGCGCGACGCCGCTGCCACGGTGACTGGTCCAGCGTGCACCAACCATTCTTTTCAACGAAATTGGCCCTAGTCTATCGCAATTCCTGACCTAGTGGCTGGTTCTTCAATCAAAGAGCGCGCTGCCCGCTGTTCCCCCTATGTCGCCCGTGATCTGCTGCTGTGCTCACCACAAGCGTGAAGGTATACTCACTGGGAGCGGGTTTAGGATTGCGGATAGTGCGGAATTAGTGACATATCCGGAGTGCTTTACAAAGAGACAGAAGATATAATTGAAAACGAGGGGATGATATAGGGGAAACCCTAGCTTGGCGAGGACCTCGGGAAACGAGGCTCGGAAATGTGGCAAACAGTGCGGGGGTGACTCGGGGGTGGTCTGAGGCGCGTTTGTAAGCCGAACTAATTATAGTGATTGGGAATGTACATCCCAGCTCCTGAGTTTAAGAGTTCTCTCATATTTAGCCCCAGGTTTACTAAAAAAGTATGACTTTCTGGGATTTTTTTCACGCGAGACCCAAAGTATGTTCATAACTGGTCCTGCAGGGCAAAATTTTCGACACGTGTCCATTTTCGCATCAGATTTTTTTCGACGGGGTAAAAAACATAAAACCCTTAGGGAACCAGTGTCAGAACTATGCTCTAGGCTGTAGTGTGGCACTCCTTAAGGGGTACAGCCCAATTAGGTTTTTGCCATACAAACATTGTACTGCTGTGTTTCTAGTTGATTCTTCATTCCTAATTCTGACATGGTTTTAGAGCAGGTTCCCTAGTGGGAACGTTTTTTTAGGGCCCACCACGATATATTTTTTTTCCTGCCCTGCCCGAAGCGCGCTTCGTGCCTGCCTCACCAGCGCCGTCGCGCGCCCTGTTCTACTGCCGCCCGTAGCGGCCCTGCCCTCCTGGCCCGTAGCGGCCCTGCCCTAACGGCCCGTCGCGGCCCTGCCCTTTCGCGGCCCGTCGCGGCCCTGACCTAGCCGCCCGTCGCGGCCCTGCCCTAACGCCGCCCCTCGCGGCCTACCCTAGCCGCCCGCCGCGGCCTGGCCTCGCCGCCCGTCGCGGCCCTGCCTTGCTGCCGCTCGTCGCAGCCCTACCCTGCTGCCGCCTCGTCGCGGCCCTGCCCTGCAGCCGCCCAGTCGCGGCCCTACCCTACAGACGCCCCGTCGCGGCCCTGCCCTGCAGCCGCCCCGTCGCGACCCTGCCCTGCAACCGCCCAATCGCGGCCCTGCCCTGCTGACGCCCCGTCGCGGCCCTGTTCTACCACCGCCCCTTCGCGGCCCTGCCCTGCTGCCGCCCCGTCGCGGCCCTGCTCTACCGCCGCCCCGTCGCGGCCCTGCCCTGCTCCCGCCCTGTACCGGCCCTGCCCAGCTGCCGCCCTGTACCGGCCCTGCCCTGCCCGCCAGTCGCGGCCCTGCCCTGCACCCGCCCCTGGTAAGCGCCCGCCCTGCCAAGCGCGCCGCTGCGCCTGCCTGCCTGCCGCGCCGCACCGCCTAGCCGAGCCGCGCCGCCCTGCCGAGCCACGCCGCCTTGCCGAGCCGCGCCGCCCTACCGAGGCGCGCCGCCCTGCCGAGCCGCGCCGCCCTGCCGTGCCGCGCTGCCTTGCCCTGCTGCTACTGCCGCCATGGCTAGTCCTACTGTGCTTACCTTCGATGCTGAGTTCCGTGCGGTCGATTTTGAGGTTTGGGTGGATGACTTGCAGCTCTATCTTCAGTGCGACTCCTGGGACGGAGTCTCGCTATTCGATCACACGTCCGGTGCCTCTGTTGCACATGCTGCCGACGCTGACATTACGGTTCGCTCGCAGTGGACTACTCGCGACGCTGTTGCTCACCTTGCTATTTGTAGTCTCCTGCCGTTTGCTGAGCGCGCGCACTTTGGCCAGTACAAGACTGCTAAGTCTCTGTATGATGCTGTTGTCGCACGCTACTCCTCCCCTGCCTCTGCTGCCCTCAGCCGCCTCATGCTACCGTACTTGTTCCCTGACCTAGCCGCGTTTGCCACAGTCGGTGACCTCATCACTCACCTCCGCACTAGTCACACCCGCTACAGTGCTGCGCTTCCCTCCGAGTTTCGCGCCAAGAACCCCCCCCCATATACATCACCCTCTTCTACCTAGTCACCCGTCTCTCTGACTCTCTCCGCTGAGTCAGGGACCACTTTCTCTCCCTTTGCCCCACTGAGCTCACCGTCGACCTGCTCGAGGAGCGCCTCCTTGCAGCTGAGACTAGTATAGTCGCTGTAGGAGCTTCTCGCAGCGACCTTCGCGCCCCTTTCTTTGAGGGGTGCTCCCCCGTCCACCTTTTGCCCTTTGTTGCTTCTGCTGCTGCTGTCGGCCTCGTTGGCACCGAGGCGGTTGGGGCTGCGTCTGCTCCTAGTGGGAGGCGCAGCAGCGGCAACAGCAGGGGGGCAAAGGGTGGTGGAGGGGACGGCGGGGCGGCGGTGGTGGCGGTGGAGGAGGTGGAGGGGGTGGGAGTGGAGGTGGGGGTGGAGGCGGGAGTGGGGGCGTCGGTGGCGGCGGTGGAGGTGGAGGCGGCGGCGACAACGGCAGTGGGGGTGGCAGCGGCGGTGGTGCTGGTAGGGGTGGAGCCGTGCAGCATGGAGGCTTTGGCGGTGGCCAGCGCCAACAGCAGCGGCGGTCTCGTGAGGCCCCGTCGCCCCAGCAGCTTCGTAAGTGGTACGCTGGGCGTGGGAGGTCTGGGGGTGTTGGTCCCTGCGCTTACGTTCTCCGCACCGTCGAGCGCCGTGGGGAGATGTGTGGGCTGTTGCACGCTACGCAGCGCTGTTTTGGTCGCCTGACTGACGCCTGGTGCGCACAGTTTCCTAACGCTACTGAGCTCCCTCGCTGGGCTGATCTGCTTAAGTCTGGAGTTGCTATCTTTGATCTTGATTATGATGCTATCCTTGCTGCCATGTATGCTTTGACTATTAGTGCTGAGGGTGACTCTTATCTGTGTGTGCCACCTGACCCAGGTATAGTGGCTGCTGCGCTAGGTGCTAGTGAGTCTGCTGCTCCAGGTACTGGTGAGCCTGCTGCTCCAGGTGCTGGTGAGTCTGATCCCTCAGGTACTACGCCTGCTGAGGCCTTGCACACTTTCACTCTTGACTCCGGTGCTTCCCGCTCTTTCTTTCGCGACTGCACCACACTCACGCCGCTCAGTGGGCCGGTTGCTGTCTCCCTGGCGGACCCCTCTGGGGGCCCAGTCATTGCACACTCCATTACGGTTCTGCCGTGTCCGGCGGTCCCGTCTGGCTCACTGTCGGGTCTCCACCTCCCCTCGTTCTCTACGAACTTGGTGAGTGGAGCTGACCTCCAGGATGTGTGGGTTGACCAGTTCACTCCTGGTGGTCAGCGGGTGACCCACTGTACGAGTACTCGGACAGGCCGCCACCTCGCCACGTTTACCCGTCAGCCTGGGTCGAGCCTGTACACCCTACCTACTGCGTCCCCTCCAGTTTCTGCGTCTGGTCAGGTAGCCGCGTCTGGTCAGGTGTTTGCTGCCGCGTCCAGGTCTGGTTCGGAGTCTGCCCCCTGCTCGTGTCGTCTCCTGTCACACCAGACTCTCCTCTGGCACCACCGCCTTGGTCACCCCTCTCTGCCTTGTCTTCGAGGTATGGCCTCCCGTGTCCTTGTCACTGGTCTTCCCCGGTCTCTCCCTCCCCTCCCACCGGGGCCTGCCCCTACCTGCGTTCCTTGCGT